ATTCTCCAGGTTCTAGATAAACTTCATATGTATACCCATATATATGTATATGTGTATATATATGTATACGTATGTATACATATGTACGTATGTATATATATGTATATACAAATATACACATATATATTTCTGTATGAGGCTGTATTGTATTTATGATTATATTTGATGTTTCCTTTTTTTAAGTTTTTTTTTTGTTTGTTTATTTAAGTAATCTCTGCAACCAATGTGGGGTTCGAACTCACTACCCCGAGATCAAGAGTCACTCTTTGAACTGAGCCAGCCAGGTGCCCCTTGATGTTTTCTCACATAAGACTGTGACTACTGTGCTCTTTTGACGAGTTGCATAAAATTGCACAAAATACTTGTTTCCGTATTTTCTTTTCCTTTCTCTTATAGTGTGAATTTTTAAAAGTATACCTTTAAATCATCTGATACTCATTTTGTGCATGCTGAAAGGTCCGGCTGATGGAAGGCTTGTGCGTTACTTTGTCAGTCTTGTACCTGCTTACGACGTACAAGGAGGTTCGTCACCCAGCAGTCACATTACCATAGAAGAATCCCTGATACTTTAAGTCATCAAAGGTATACTCGTCGTTGAATGGTTGAATTTTCTTAAGGAATAAATGGAAACAAGATTTCCAGGCTGGTAACAATTGTGATGCCAAATCACAAATTAGTGCCCCTCCTCCCAAATCTTAATAAGTAGACATTTCAGTAAGAACCAAATTGAATCATTTTCCTTCAGGCTTTTTTTTTTTTTTTCCCTATTTAAATTGATAGTCTCTCTTTTATATAAATGTGATCCTCTTGATCATAAGAAAGGACACAATTTCTTCCAGTCTGAATTGATGCTTTTGGAGAATTTCTCCTTTAATATGTCTGCTTTAAAAGCAACTTCTGGGGAATCACTGGAATCTACTCTTGAAATGATTATAGCCCTGATGCTAACTTACAAATTAAAAAATAAATAAGTAAATAATAATAAAAAACTAAAGTAAATAAAATAAAAAATAAATAAGTAAATAAAATAAATAAAACAAAAAATGGTGAATTTTATGTTATGTGAATTTCACCTCAGTAAGATTTTTTAATCTTAAAATAAAATAAAATAAAATAAAATAAAATAAAATAAAATAAAATAAAATAAAAACAACTTCTCTGGATGCCTGGGGATTCAGTCAGTTGAGCATCTGACTTCGGCTCAGGTCATGATCTCGTGGTTCAGGAGTTCAAGCACCCTGTTGGGCTCTGTGCTGACAGCTCAAAGCCTGGAACCTGCTTCAGATTCTGTGTTTCCCTCTCTCTCTGCCCCTCCCCCACTCACGTTCTGTCTCTCACTCACAAATAAACATTAAAAAAAAAATTAAAAAAAACCCAACTTCTGTTTTTATACCACCAACTCATGGATATCCCAGAAAATAGAACAAAACTTTACACAGATTATTGAAAAATCAGTTCGTCAACGAGACTTCCGTTTTAACCAATGTATGCCATGAGCATTGCTAACAAAGCTGAAAAAGATTTGCATTTTTTTCCTTTGCTTTGGAAATAGGGCCAAAACTCCATACAAAAGTCTAAAATGAAGCAAAGCTCTCAGACAGCTCCCAACCTGGGATCAACCTCCGTGTAACTTCACAGCGGCTGAACCAGGGTTTTCAATGTGGAGATTTAGATGGATAAGCTTGGAAATCTTTATAGAATTCAACCTTCCAAGTAGAAAGTTGGAGTTACAGCAGATCTCAAACTTCATTTCCTGTGAGCAAAAGAATACATTTTTCTCCTAGGGACAGAGTGCACTAGGAATTTATGCAGGGGACAGGCAAGGGTCTAAGAATGACAAATGGTATTTCTTAAATCCTCAAGAGACTATTGCAGAATCGTGCGGCCCGAAGGAGCCTTCCGTGTGTCTTCTGATTTTCAGGAAAACATATTTTTTAAGCCACTGCAGGAGAGGTGACATTTCATTTTCTCCATAAAAGACTCTCTTGGAAGGTTATTTTATAGTTTCTTTCTCAGAACCATTCCAAAGAGGTTTTTCTTAGTCCAGACAGGACTCATATCTCTTATGAAAGATGGAGAGAGGGTGGGCTAGGTTATTCAGGGCTTGGGGAACGTGTAAGAGAGTAATTTAAAGTTTTTCCTTTTATCACTGGAGTTCCATCTATCTCCTTCTAAAGTTACAGAGCCAAAGCTGAAGGGTGATTTTCAGGTAGTCCAGGGGATATGAAACATACCATTGCCTGCTTCGAAATTGTTTTCCTGGTGCCTGTGTATCTTCCCACTGTGCGTGTGCTTATTAGTTGCACGCGAATGCTTGTAGTGATAGAAAATGCCCAGCAAGCGTGACATCAGCTCTTGACCTGCAAGCCATCATTAACACATCAAGCCACTTTTTCTCTCTGAGCTCAGGAGCCCGAATCAAGCAGCTATTACAAATCAGTCAGCACTGTCATAGTGGATAAAATCTGATCATCCCGGCCCTAGATTTCAATCAGCCACATACTCTTGTCAGGGACCAGAAGGCTAAGGATTTCAATCCAGCATGGACCTCAGAATCTAGACGAAAGCCCTGAGTGATCTTCCTCAACTTTCCAAGCATTAGTAATAATGCCCGGGTAATAATAAGTGTTGATACATTTATTTTTGGACATCCTTTGCAGTCTACAATTGTACAAAAAGGCTAAGACATTGGGGCAAGAAAATAGCATCTTTTGTGGATAAAGATAATTACAGGGACAACTATAGATGTGCTATCCAATCGAACTCTCTGTGATGACCACATGATTCTGTGCTGTCTGGCCACATGTAGCTCTTGAGCACTTGAAATGTGGTTAGTACAACTGAGGAACTGAGTTCTTAATTTTAGAGAATTTAAATTTAAATAGCCTCATATTGCTAGTGACTCTACTCTAGTATTGGACGGGGAATTTCTAGAGCATGGTTCCATGGAACGCATCCCACGATCTGATCTAAAATATTCTGATTGGGGCACCTGGGTGGCTCAGCGGGTTAAGCGACTGATTTCAGCTCAGGTCATGATCTCACAGCTCGTGGGTTCTAGCCCCGAGTCGGGCTCTGTGCTGACAGCTCAGAGCCTGGAGCCTGCTTCCGATTCTGTGTCTCCCTGTCTCTCTGCCCCTCCCCTGCTCATGCTCTGTCTCTCTCTCTCTCTCTCTCTCTCTCACAACTAAATAAACAGTAAAAAAATAAAGTAAAATATTCTGATTAAAGTATGTTTCCTTTTCTGATAGAAGCCTATTTAAAATGTATGTTACAAAAAAAAATCATAAAGCCTGGAATTGTATGCTTTGAAAGTGTTTGGAAATGGGTGATATATATATATATATATATATATATATATATATATATGTATATATATATATATATTTTTTTTTTTAATCATGAAATACAAAAGTTGTGGGCTAGTTCCTAAGAAATGATTCATGTGAATTTGTTAAAAAAGAAAGAGAGAGAGACATGATATTTCCAAATGTATTCTGCTTGTTATAAAGGTATATGCAGTCTCCTTATAAGCTGTGAGAACATACGATTTGCAGCAGAAACTCTTCCGTATTTTTGTTCTTATATCATCTGGTACATGGTAAGCATTCATTTTCTATTTTTAAAAGAATGAATAGAATTTATCAGGCTCTCTCTCCCACAGAAGGTATCTCTCCCAATCTGCTAAGGAACAGTGAGAGATTAAACAGGAAAGGAAAGAATGGTTCTGTAACAACACATCATTTTCTTGTTGCCAAACTGCCCGCTGGATGATCCGCTCACTGCAGGAATTCAAAAGAAATTAAAGCACAAACTTTGACCAGCAGCATTTCTTGCCATACATACAACCTTTGCCCCAGGAGTAACGTCAAGCTGTAGCCAGTTAATTTGTGCTTTGTTATCAGGTTGTCCCTGTGCTGAACAGAAATTCCAAGCAGCTAGGCTTTAACTGAAAACGAACTAAGGGGAGGGGCTGCCTGAGAAAAACGTAATGTGGGATGATTAAACAGAAAATGTTGCTTGTAGTTTTCTTCACCAGGAAGAACGGCTCTGCAATTCATCTCCTTGAAGAGGTGAACTCTTAATGAGCAAATGATTAGCATGAATCCTAGACTAGACCTAACGTGTTCTGGACCAAATTAACACAGGCTTGGAACCCTCTCCTACTGAGGCAGAAATCCAGGTTCCTGTCTAACAGCAGAGGGGTTATGGAACGTTCTCAGGGTAGGTGCCTCCAGCCCTCCATGGACGGAGACTGGATAGGCTTGCAAGTCTGTTCAGGACTGAGTCCTGTTCGTGATTATTGAGCAACACATTGATTCTCAACTCCGTCTATTAAGTCATCTCCAGAACTTGTTTGTTTATATCATCCTTATAGTCTGACCTAAAACTTCAGACACTTAGTATCCAGCTAAAAAAATATTCCTAGGCTGTTTGCATATGATGTCTCTAGGATCATGTGATGACAAAAATCTGTAATAATACATACCTTTCAAAAAAGCCAGACTTATGGCAAAGACTTCATGTTGATGGTGGGTGAATAGCTTGAATTTCTTAGAAAGTTTTTCTACCTTCCGAATTGTACACCTGGTGTCAGATACAAACTAACATGTCAGATACAAACTAATATGAAATGTGAAATGGTAAAATCTGCCTTTTTATCAAGGTGTGGATGCAAGTTGGGGAGACCTTATGCCATCAAAATTTTCTAAGGAGGTTGCATAATATAATTGGGTATTTCTAAGGGCAGATGGCTGAGAGGCTCAGCATTTCAAATTGCTTTAATGACTGGTAATGTGTCATAGATAATGAAGATGATTTCAGCACTGCCTAGTAGTGGCATAATTTAGGGCACAGACTCACAATTGGACAAAAATCCTGAAATAGGCTCATGGTCAGTTCAAATAAAAAAATCGCGGACTTTCACACGGTCACGTAATGTCTTGTCTCCCATTTCAACATCAGGGATTCCTAAATTTTTGCTTACCTCTATGTTTTAGATGACACTGTGAGCGGTTGGTGTCCCGATGCCATCTGGCACATAAGAGCGAACGTGGATCCATTACCATATGGTGTAATGCTAGCAGAACAAAGAATGGTTTCATTTCTTCGTAACTTGCTGACGCAAGTAAAGCCAAGGCTGATGCTTCGCAAAGTTCTTCATACTGGTGAGTCTGATATTGGGGGATGACCCTCTAAGTCCTGGGGATAGTCCTCAGGAAGATTTGAGCACCCACTCTTTTGTGGGGGAGGGTAAGATCACTGCATCTTTGTATCTGTTATTTTCGTTGGTGGTCGTATTCATTTTCTCTTGCTGCAAAAATTCCCACAAACTCAGTGACGTAAAACAATATTCATTTGATTGGTTGTTTCTCATCTCCACGGGTCCTGTGGGTCAGAGGCCTGGACACAGCTGGTTCCAGTGCAGCCAGCTGTGGCTCAGCTGGTTTCTCTACTTAGGATCCCACAAGACTGAAATCAAGGTGATGGGAGGGCTGCAATCCTTTTGGAAGGCTCCGGGGGAGGATCTGTGCCAGCACATTTGGGTTGTGGGTGGGATTCTGCTGCCTCAGTATTTGAGAGCTGCTGGCCGGCTGTCAGCCAGGGGCAGCCCTTAGCGTCTAGGAATCTCTCTTCCGCTATTGTGCACGGTCCCTTCACATCTCAGAACCACAGTGGCGACGTGTCAAGCCCTTCTCACGCTTGGGATCTCTCTGATCTTTCTTTCTCCCGAGTCTCTCTGACTCTAGCTAGGGAAAGCTCTCTGCGCTGTAAGGGCTCAGGTGATAAGGCTGGGTCCACCTGCACAGTTCAGGTCTACCTGCCTGCCTGCGTTCTGTGTACCTTGAAGTTCTTAACGTTAACCTACCTGCAAGTCCTCTTGCCATGTGAGGTAACGCGTTCTGTGCTCTAGGGACTGGGGCACCGTCATTGGGAAGCCATTATTCCGGCCACCGCCGCAATGATCAGGATCAATAGTTTACATTGACCGTAGCTTTAAAAGTTTACTTTTACCTCTCACAGTCTCTGTCTCACTCCTTCATTTAGAACCCTGGAGTAAAACCTGGAAAAAAAAAAAAAAAGCAAGAGCTTTTCTGTCTCGTTCTATAAGTTTATTCTCTTACAGTTTCCTCATCGACACAATTTAGGCATTTGTTATCAAATCTGGAATCTGAGAATCAAGCTCCCTGTGAAATAACGAACAATTCAAGGCCAAGAAAACTATAAAGTTAATGAGATCAAATAAGAATGCCACTGGACATGGAAACAATTCCTGTATTACAGCCATTGTTACAGTTATTAGCGTTTTAAAAACTACAAATTTAGTAAAGGCTGCCATATTTGCAAGAACAACCAGGAGTTAATTATCTATAGGCATGAAATTTGGGTGCCGATTAAACTCCTATTCATAGTTTATTTCAGTGTCCATAGAACCTCACTTCTAGAAATGAGTATAGGGCCAGGTTAAGCGTATTTACGGTGATACAACCTTGCTTGGAAGGATACCAGTGACATTGGGACACTGGGATGCTGGCATTTTGTTTTTTTTCAAGCTATGCTTTGTGCTAATTAGGGTGTGCAGGCTTTCTACTTCTCTTTGGTAATTTATATTTTTCTAGAAAACTGTCCCTATCATACAAGTTTTCAAGATTCTTGGTAATTTTGAAATGTTCTGTTACAACTTAAAGGATTAAAACTATCTTTTCTGTTGTTGTTTTTAAGTGTGTATTTATTTATTTTTGAGAGAGACAGCATAAGCCCGGGAGGACAGACAGAGACGGAGACAGAGAATCTGAAGCAGGCTCCAGGCTCCGAGCTGTCAGCTCAGAGCCCATGGGCGCGGCTCAAACCCAGGAACTGTGAGATCATGACCTGAGCCGAAGTCGGATGCTTAACTGACTGAGACACCCAGGCACCCCCAGAATTAAAAATATCTTGATTTGGGGCACCCTGGACAGCTCAGTTGGTTAAGTTGGTTAAGAGCCAACTTTTTATCTTGGCTCAGGTCTTGATCTCAGTGCTCATGAGATAGAGCCCTGTATGAGGCTCTGCACTAACAGTTACAGAGCCTGCTTGGAGTTAATTCTCTCTCTCTCCCTCTCTCTCTCCCCCTCCTCCACTAGTGTTAGCTCTCTCTCTCTCTCTCTCTCTTTCAAAATAAATAAATACGCTTAAAAAATATTTTGATTTGTAGAGACATTTATTTACTTGTGTTTCATTTTGAACTTATTTGTTGTTCTTATTACCACTTAATGTTCTTTTCTTTAACATATTCACAAAAGTATTTCATTAGTGTTTTAAGTGATGCATGGGTTTGCTTTAATTCATTCTTTTTTTTTTTTTTTTTGGTATGCTTATTATCATTTCGGGGTTTTATCTTTACTTCTTACCATTGCTTTACTTGGGTTCATTTTGTTACTTCTTTTGTAGTATATTCTGTAGAAATATCAATTTATTTAATCTGTAGTGTTTTTAAGAAGTTATTTGATGTGTGTAAATTCTCCTCCAAGGGCCATATACAGCCTTTATCCCACTGGCTTTGATATAGAGTATTTTTTCACATTATTAAATATTATGCAATTTTCATTTTGTTTTCCTGCTCAACTCATTAATTACTGACACGGGAAAAATCTTAGGGATATGGAGTTAGGAGGGAAGAGGTTGTTTTCTTTTTTTTTTTCTTTTTTTTTTTTTAACGTTTATTTATTTTTGAGACAGAGAGAGAGCATGAACGGGGGAGGGGCAGAGAGAGGGAGACACAGAATCTGAAACAGGCTCCAAGCTCTGAGCTGTCAGCACAGAGCCCGACGCGGGGCTCGAACTCACGGACCACGAGATCCTGACCTGAGCCAAAGTCGGCCGCTTAACCGACTGAGCCACCCGGGCGCCCCAGAGGTTGTTTTCTTGTTGATTTCTAGTTTTATTTTGTGTAATGTAGCCATCTTGGTACTAATAGTGTGGAATTTGTTGAGACTTCCTTTGTGTCTAGAGCAGTCTTTGTGAATCGTCTTTGTGTATCTGAGAAGAATGTACATTCCCTGTTTCTAGGGATGCAAAGTTCTATTACAAATCGTTACAGCAAATTTGTTCATTATTTTGTTCAAATCTTCTACATCCTTGCTTTTTTTGGCTACTCGATCTGTCAGTATATGACAGATATGCACTATGATTATGGATTTGTCTGTTTCTCCTTGTGTTTCTATCAGGTTTTGCTTTATATATATGTCTTAAGCTTTATTTGGGTTCATTCCAGTTCAAAAATTTCTATCATTATTACATTTTTCCATTTATTGATATATAAGATGTCTCTCTGTGTTCCTTGGATTCTGTTTTGTCAGATTTAATATCATTATACCTTCTCCTTTTTTTTAGTATTTGACTGGTTTGCACTTTTTTCCATTCCCTTGTTTTCAGTCTCCCAGATTCCCCTCTCCTTCAGCTATGTGCATTTTATAAAAGCCTCTTTTTGCCTACTATTTTATATTCTGAGATTCTCTCAGAATGAACATTTGCTACAGTTATTAAGATCTTCAGTCTTATGTCTGGTGTCTTTTTTCCTGTGTTTTCAATGTATAGGAACAGCTTAGAGCTATTTCAGGTTGGGTTCGAGACCACCACAATAAAGCAAATATTGCAATAAAATGAGTTAAATGAATTTTTTGGTTTCCCAGTGTGTATAGAAGTTGTATTTACTCTATACGGTAGTGTAGTAGGTGTGAAATAACATTATGTCTGAAAAACCAATGTAGGTAGCTTAATTTAAAAAGACTTTATTGCTGGGGCGCCTGGGTTGCTCAGTTGGTTAGGCGTCCAACTCTTCGTTTTGGCTCCAGTCATGAGGCCATGAGGATGTTGTGTGTTAGCACTTCACCCACAGTAGAACTTCTTTGAGAATTGGAGTCCATTCTCTCAAACCCTGCTGCTGCTTGATCAACAAAGTTTATGTGATATTCTACATCCCTTGTTGTCATTTCAACAATCTTCACAGCGTTTTCCCCAGGAGGAGAGTCCATCTCAAGAAGCCACTTTCTTTGTTCACCCTTCAGAAGCACCTCCTCACCCATTAAAGTTTCATCATGAGGTTGTGGTAATTCAGGCTCATCTTGAGGCTCCACTTCTGGCTGTTTCCATTACATGCGCAATTCTTTCCTCCCCTGGAGTCATGAACCCCTCAAAGTTATCCATGCAGGCTGGGATCAACTGCTTCCAAAGTCCTGTTCATGTGGATATTTTGGCCTCTTCCTATGAATCATGAATGTTCTTCGTGGCATCTAGAATAGTGAATCCTTTCCAGAAGATTTTTAATTTACTTCATTAAGATCCACCAAAGGAATTACCATCTGTAGCAGCCTTATAAAATGTATTTCTTCAATAAGAAGATTTGAAAGTCAAAATGACCCCTTGGTCCTTGGACTGCAGAATGGATATTGTGTTAGCAGACATGAAAATAATATTTATCTCACCGTCCATCTCCACCAGCTCTGAGTAACCAAGTGCGTTGTCAACGAAAAGTAATATTTTGAATGGATCATTTTTTTCTGAGCATTAGATGATTACAGTGGGCTTAAGATATGCAGGAAACCAGCTCATAAGCAGATTTGCTGTCATCCAAGCTTTGATGTTCCTTTTCTAGAGCACAGGCAGAGTAGATTTTAGCATCATTCTTAAGGGCCTTATGATTTTTGGAATGGTGAATGAGCATTGGCTTCAACTTCAAGTCAGCAGCGGCATTAGCCCTAACAAGAGAGTCAGCCTGTCCTTTGAGGCCAGGCATTGACTTCTCTCCAGCTCTGAAAGTCCTGGATGGCATCTTCTTCTAATAGAAGGTTGTCTTGTCTATATTGAAATTCTTATGGCAACCACCTTCGTTAACTGTCTTAGCTAGATCTTCTGGATAACTTGCTGCAGCATCTCCATCAGCGTTCGATGATTTACCTTACACTTTGCTGATCGGAAGATGGCTTCTTTCCTTAATCCTCCTGAACCAACCTCCCCTAGCTTCAAACTTTCCTCCTGCGGCTTCCTCACCTCTCTCAGCATTCACAGAACTGAAGAGAGTTAGGGCCTTACTTTGGATGAGGCTTTGGCTTAAGGAAATGTTGGGGCTGGTTTGATCTTCTGTCCAGACCACTCAAAGTTTCTCCCTATCAGAAAAAGCCTGTTTCCC